ATAACTACTAACTGAAAAAAAGTTGAGTTAGTGGCATAACGGAACTCCGACAGCCCTAGTCTTGAATCTTGAATTTTCTTCTTGAAAAAAAACCGTTGCTGTACCATTTAGCGTGGTAGTTATTACTGATTTTTTCCTGTTTCCTACTTTCTCTTCTAACATAAATTGTTGAGAGTTCAAGCTGACATACATTTCATGTGTACATAAGTACTCAAATACTTGGAAGTCTTTTGCCGTCAATCAATCATTACTCTACTAATTGTTTACAGACTTATAGCTATTTTTAGAAAGAATTTTTCTATCGTACTGTAATCTATTTAAAAATTAATTATGAATCAAAAACTCCTTGTTTACTAATATTTCTCAATGATGATCCTATTTATCATATATGCATTGATGCATTAATTCTTTAGTATATATGAAAGAAGAGTAAATAGAACTAAACAATTATAGGCTATTCACGGATGCATAGAAATCAACGAGTATTATTTTTTCTATATCTATTTCAATTAGAGAATACTAAATCAAATTCTATTAACAATCAATTTATTCAAATATATTTCACTTAATCTATCATACAAAAAAAATAGAGAAACTGACTCAAACTTTATAAATACTAATTTTTTTTAGTTATTAATTAACACTTTTGATAAAATAAACTATCAGCAATCATTCATCAAGTTAATACGTTATAATAACGGACTTATACAATAATTGTATATATTATGATTTTTCTTATCATAATTTTTAAATTATTTATGATATTTCTTTATTTTTTTTAGCTTTTGTATCAATACAATATAGAGAGTTAAAGACGTAAAAATATAAAGTAGAAACTTTTTTTAAAAAGACATCATTGTCAATTGTTCATGTGTAATAGATAATGGAGAAATTGATAATTTTTGTCCTGATTTTGATCTTGATCTTCTTAAATAATCAGATGTTTCTAATGGTATTTTAGATTCTCTATTTGAATGAAAAACTGATAAATAAGATTGACTTTGTCTTCTTAATTGATGTTTATTTTGACATAATACTATTTCTATAAATGCATTACGAAATATTGAACCACTAACACAATATAATAAAAAATTAATTGAATGACATAAATAGAATAATAATCTTAAAAGTGCCCATTGTAAATAATAATATGGTGATAATTGATATTCTGTTGGTGCTAAAGCAAGATAAATACTAGCTGGTGATGTTAATAGAATAAAAACGAGACTAACAGTTAATAACATACGAGTAATAAGACGTTTTTTAGATGATTTTTTTTGTTTATTACGTGAATGAATTAATTTTTGATGAATTTTTTTTAATAATAATCCATTAAATATAATCATAAGTATAAATGGTAATAATGTATAGAAAAAGAGTGATATTTTACCATAATATTTACTACGAAATTTATAATATATTGAATAACGTTCTTTATTAACAGTACATTCCATTTTATTTTGATATTTTGGTCTTGTATCTGATAATGTATATTCATAATAAAATAAAAAATGTGATTCACATAAACAAATAAAAATAATAATTAAACATAATTGAACAAAAAATTTTTTTTGTGTACATATACAACGTTTTGTTACATATAGATAACGTTGAATTGTTA